CCTGAAACTATAGTCATTATTTTTGTTAAATTTTACTGTATTCATTTCATTAAACAAAACAAAATCATACATAGAAAACATACAGTACAATTTGTTATTGTTTATATTGTGAAAATATCACATTCTTCCTGGTAGCATACATGGAGGAAATAATAACAACTTTTAGCATATTGTAATGCTACATGGCACTGCATCCATAACTGTAGTTACTATGGGGCCCATGCCATTTTGTACTCTACAAAAGAAACACTGTACTTTCTCATTCTTATTAACATCTCTCGACTGTCCCACCCATGCGTGGTAACTATCACTAAATTCTCTGCTTCTTTAAAGTTGTAAATTTTATATACTAACAAATATAATCAAGCTTTAATTCATCTGTGTGGCAGACTTCATATAATGACCTTGGTTAATCTACTTTGTCACAAAAGAAGTATTTCAAGACTCAATAAAATTTCATTGCACAAATAAACTGTACTTTACCCATATAACTAGGGGATGGTTTGCATATAAAATGTTCCTTAAAGGTGATGTATGGAAGACTCAAATGCAGGGTGGTGTTTTTCTGAATCTAACATTATTATGCACTTTCCAACCTCATCCATGCATTAGTCCACAGATATATTGGAGGAAGATTGTCTCTGCAAGTGTGCTTTGAAACAGTGTATCTCATTCTTGACACGCTTCTCTGTCTATGTCACTCTGATTCTCAGCTTTTTCACTTTTGGTTTTTATACTAAATCTCATTTTGAGTTTCTGCATGTTTTCTGATATTATAAAAATAAAACATTTTCATAAATTATTTACATAGGCTTTCTTTTCATTGGGAGTTCTTTCAAAACTTTCTGGGTAATTGGAAAAATGGAAGGATTTCCCATATTTATTGCATATATATGGCTCCCCTCTCATGAATATTTCATGACTTTGAATGTAGAGAAAAATAAAACATTGCCAACATTGTTCTTATGTGTTCAGATTCCTGGTCTATGAATTCTTTCAGGTATATACTAATACTGAGTACTGAAAGACTTTTATATTGCATACAAAGAAAGGGCTTCTCTGCACTGTCCTTTGATGTCAGTGCAAGTCACTTCATATATTCAAAGTTAATTTCCCTTCTTATTTTTTAAATGTCTTTGATGACTACTAGAGTAACTGAAAGCCTTTTCCATATTGTTTACATACAGTGTTTCTACACTGTGATTCCTTTCATGCCCTTGACAATTCCTGTGTGCTGAAAGCTTTCTCTCATTGCTTACATATATAGGGTTTCTCCCCAGTGAGTCCTTTCCTGTATTTTATAATGACTTTGTGTCCTGAAAGCTTTCCCCCACTGGTTACATGCATAGGGCTTCTCTCCAGTGTGAATCCTTTCATGTGTTTTACAATGACTTTGTCTCCTGAAAGCTTTCCTACATTGGTTATATACATAGGGCTTCTCTCCAGTGTGAGTCCTTTCATGTGTTTTACAATGACTATATAGAGAAAGCTTTCCCACATTGCTTGCATACATAGGGTTTCTCCCCAGTGTGTGTCATTTCATGTATTTTACAATTACTCTGTGTCCTGAAAGCTTTCTCACATTGCTTACATACAAAGGGTTTTTCCCGTGAGTCCTTTCATGTGATTGACAATTATGTGTCCTAAAAGCTTTCCCATATTGTTTACATACAAAGGGTTTTTCTCCAGTGTGAGTCCTTTCATGTGTTTTACAATTACTCTGTGTCCCAAAAACTTTCCCACATTGCCTACATACATAGTTTCTCCCCAATGTGGATCCTTTCATGTATTTGGTAAGAACTGTGTGTCTTGAAAGCTTTCCCACATTGCTTACATACAAAGGGTTTCTCCCC